CGCATGGGGGGGTTGGGGCAGGGTGGAGTTTTGTGACCCCAGAGAGCATGACCTGAGGGGACATTTGAAAAGTTTAGGGGAGTTGCTCAGGGGGATGGTGGAATGGGGCAAGCGGAGGGGGGCACATCAATACTAGAAGGGAAAGTAACCTCTTGGTACCCTGCTGGTTGTTTTCTCCTAGAGTGTCTTTGGATTTTCTGAATTAGATATAGATGTATTAATGTAAAACTGCTAATTACATTCTATAGAAACTGCTTTTAATCAGACCATTTGTACATTACACACAATCAGATTAAAAGCATTTACTCTGTAATAGTTTAAAAATACTCTGTAATCTCTGGAAACCTGCAATTAATGACAATCACTGCATACTTTCTATTTCTTGATAACTTGCAAATACTGTGGGAGAACTATCAGTATCATCTTTTCTGAATGTTAGTTTACACAAAGAAATGCTGTGGTGAGAGACAACGGGTTGGATTTCTCTCTTCATCCCTGCATTAGTCAGATGCTGGAGTTTGGTTTCCCTCCAAAAACTCTGGCCCTATTGTAAAACTTCTCGCCTGCCACTTATACAAGCTACTCAGCAGCTGCCTCCCTCCATCTCCAGCCATCACATCAATCTATGCTGGAGTGGGTGTTTTGGGAAGTGGGGGTGTTTCAGCCACTCAGCTGTTAACCCCCCTGAGATAAGGTCTCAGGACTAACCCTGCAGGTATCCTAAAACAAAACACTGTGATTACTGTTTACACAAGCTTCAGGCCCGAATCGGCGGGTGTTGAGGAAAACCTTCAGCGTATCTGCAGATCATGCATCTTGAGCCACGACACTAGAGAGACTATAGAATGCTGGGGACATGGTGATGAGTTATTTTTCTTAAATGTAGGCGCAGCAGGGATTCAGCTCCTCCCAACAATGTACATTTTGTGAGCAAAAGTGTTTGCGTTTAACTCTGGAAAGTGTCTGAATAAAGACTGATCCAAAGGTGAGGCGTTTCCCTCCTCCTCTTTGTCAGGAGGTTTAATTAGGACTGCAGAGGCGTGCATGACCTTTGGCATTTGGGCATCTCTGCTCTTTTCTTTTACTTCTCGCCCTCAGGCAAGCATCAGCACTTCCCCTATTAAACTCCTAACCCTAAAAGACTAACAGCCAGGAGTTCCATGTTAAAAGGAGGAGGCATTTCTAACATATTGTGAAGTGAGGCAAAGTGTGTGGTTTCTGAGGTATGTGTGCCTCTTTAGTGGTTTGGAAATTTAAACATTTTAGTGAGCAGTGTTATTTTTTTTTAAACACCCTGAGGTTATAAAACCATTCCAAACCAAGGCCTTTTAATGGGTTAAAATGCATCTAGCCTCTCATAACTAGGAAATCCTCCTAGAAATCTTAAAAATCATGTTATCATATAAAAACTAGTGGAAATACAACTTATGTGCTATAGTTTTCTAATAACCTGTTTCCCAAAAATATGCAAAAAAAGTTGGTCGGAATTATTTTGAAGTTACATATACAAGCTCCTTTCTTGTCCACTATATCCAAAAGAAAAAAATGTCAAAGTGGGACCCATTAGACTACAGGCCAGCAAAATGCAATATGTTTTTGTTTTTTGAATGTGTCTCTATCTACTTGTATTGTTTGAATGATAATGGATGAATACCTCAGTATAATAGAAAAACTAATTAATCCACAAAAAAAATTCTAATTTGATTTTAAAGACACAGATAGAGAATCTTACAAAATGAAACAACAAAATACAATAAATATGACATAGAATAACAACTATAACGATAAAAGAGCAAGCACTATGTTCCGTTCATTCAACCTTTATTTCTATGCCGAAACATTGTTCAGGGTGTGCCTTCATTACCAGTCAGGTTAACACACAAGCACAAAATTACAGGTAAACGAAAGGCAGAAAAAGCTGAAATTAAACTGATGGAGACAAACAGGTAACTAAACTGATGTAGTGGATTTGAAGATGTAGGACAAATGTGTCTCTACTGACTCTTTGTTGATGTTACAATAAATAAAAAAATAGAAGCACAGAGGACCTACTATGTTCATGTGAGAGTGGATATAAAAAAAACTTTCCAAACTGATATATTTTTCAGTTCACTCTTTCAAAATGGGCAAATCCATCAAATAACACCCACCACAGTGGATAATATCTGCTTTTGTTTTTCCCATTTGAACCTGAGGCTTCCTAAACTCCAAGGAGAGTGTGTTGATCCTTTCTCTGCATATGCGTTTGGCGCTGGGAAGTGGAGAGCACTGCCAAATGGGAAAACGACTACATGGGCATAAAGAAAGACCAGGCTCAATCAGGAAGTGTCAGCTTTTTAACCGTGCCAAGGGAGCCGGGCAACTTCCTGGTCTTGTTGCCAAGGTTACTGGAAGCTAAGCCAGCTGGTGCAGTGGGCAGCCGTTGGGTTTGATTGAGAGGGGGTGGTGGAGGAAACGGTTGGCATCTTTCACAGAAAAAGTGGATGAAGAGCAACAATCAGCGCAGAGTGCTTCAAAAGGAACTATTAAGATTATTCTACTCTGTGAAGTGTATATTCCAACAAATCACTATAATTCATTTTGGCTTTTGTTAAAGAGAAATAGTCACACAGGCTATGAGTTTGAGAGAATATGTAAATTGTTTTTTTTTTTCAATAATTTTCTCTATATGCACTTTTTCAAAGCAAAAGAAAGACTGCTAGAGAGTGTTATGTTTGTTGCCCCATTAAACAGAAATTGAACAAAACCAAGTGACACATAGGGGTTTAACTGCAAAAATACAAACCAAATTGCGCAAAAACTTTATTTTTTCAAGATTAATCTTTGACTGGTGTTTTTTAAGAAAGCTTTCAATAAATCCCATTTTCGAAAAGGATAGAATGTTGTGGGGGATGTTGCCTACCCTAATGCATTTCTTAACACTGCGTCTACCTCATTTGGGACAATAAGTGAAGCTTTTCTGTCCTTGTAACATACAGATTAGTTTGTTTGGTGGGTGTTCTTGGGATCAGTGGGCCAGACTGGTGGAGATAGGTAAACACAGCTGGGGACGCGCATTTCTGCTGAGCTGCAGACCACCCTTTTCTCATTTATCAGCTTGTTTGCACAGGGGATGCGTCCTAATCTTCACACATTGATCTCTGTGGAGAACTCTCACTGAGGTGCAACTGGCTGGGATTAAATTGACCCTGTCCACAATCACAGTGTCACTAATTCCTCCATTGCAAAAGATTGAATGATATTTGTATGATAAAGGGTTATAAACACTATATATAAACCTCTCCGTGGGGTGTGATTTAATGAAATGTGTTCTAAACTTCTGACCATGATAACATCATTCTCTGAGGACTGATAAAACATCACTGAACACCAGGGTGCTTTAATATGCTTTCCAAATGAATAATTGTTATGCATTTTTATGAATAGATATATATCTTCATCTCTGCGTTCATTGTGTATGTAAATGAACTGCATTACTGTTAGCGTTAATATTTTAGGTTTTGGGTGTTAGTTCAAATCACTGTATATCTGGCATTTCAGCTAGTTTGGCTAGTCTTAAGGAGGGTTAAACTGAGCCACTCCTTATCTCCCATATTTCCCATATCAATTCATTATTTAACCCATTTATTTCTTAATCAGGCAGCTCGTCAATGTATTAATTTCGGTGTTAGGACTAACTTTTGCTGTGAGTGCCATCTGCTGGTAGATTCTCTACAATTTAACCTACATCTCTCAGATGGGGGTACGGTACAATGGGATCTACGAAGTATTAAGACCATTTCAAAGGAATATTTGAGGAAAAAACGTATTTTGTTTCATTTGGTTGATAGATAGTGTAAAGGTGAAAATTTTAAAGGCTGTAAATTATTTCAAAGTCATAAATACAAATACTCCCCCCCCATAAAAAATAAATAAATAAAGAATTTACATCTGCAGATCTATCTAGAATAAATATAGCTACGAAATATCGTTTTGGGGTAATTGCTATTATATCACACATGGGAAATAATCTTAAATTTCAAGGGAACATATAATCTAACAATTCAATATTTTTAGGTGATTGTCAAGTGATGTTTGTAAAAACGTTATTCCGTTAACCTTTTCTTTATTTAAGCCAGCATCTCCTGTGAACGATGTTTCCAATGTTAGAAATACACCCCCCCCCGCCCAAATCTGATTAGTTTGATCATTAACTCGGTTTCCTCTCGGCTTCCGTTGATGTCGCGCAAAGCGCTTGACGTCAGCATAACAACAATTTGTCATGACATCTTGTACTGGGATGAAATAATCGTTTGAGGTTTAATTTTAAAATTCAGTCAAATCGTTTACACCTGCATGTTAACTTTCCAATCAAAGGTAAGACTTGGACACATCGTACGTCAATAACAAACCCAAAATGTGACAGACACAGAGGGCTGTTGAATGTGTTGAAATTAAGCTAACTTAGCATTAGCTACTTTCTGTCTTCTGATGCTACCTAATGCCATTATCGTATATGTGAAAACATGCCGATACGACGCATTCGAACCCTAATAGGTAGTACTCTAACATATTCAATCTTTTTTTAATGAGAAGTTTTGTAAAATTGTTTAAAGTAGGGTATGCTGACATTTTAATTACCGAAGCCTGGTGTAAATCCTCATCATAGCTCGTTTGGCTAGTTTAGCTAATATAGCATAGCAACGATCTCTTGTCCGTTGATGCCTAAAGTTAGCAACATTGTCATGATGTCTGTGTTCGTTCAAAAACAACGGTTATTATTCTGTTTATATTACGCAGGCTACTTGTGTTTTTACAGTTAACTACCATTGTACACCTCTGTTGTTACGTTTCACCAACTGAAAGCCTGACACTGAGGATGGTGGGTGTGTGGTGCTTCCCGATGGCTAGCCGTGTAGCTCATTTAGCACCCGTTGATGTCCGTCATGTGAATAGTTAATTCGCCGGCAGTCTTGTCTCGCTGTGTTTTCGGCCGTGTGCACTGTCAGCGAATTAAACGGATGCCTTTTGGGTGGCATCAAGCAGCACTGCACCTCCACCAGCCCGGACGCGCATTGCAGGTGCGTCGCAGTGGATGTTACCTTTACACGCACCGTGTCTCTGATCTAGTTTGCGCGATCCAGGACGGACAGGACATTCTGAATCCTGTCATCTAGCCAGCCGAAGAGACGGGGAACAGGATAGGGAAGCAGGGCGAGGCGGGCCCCGCGGAGCCGGTGGAGAAGATGGCCGGTAGCCCGGAGAAGAGTTCCACCGCACAGGAGCTGAAGGAGCAGGGGAACCGGCTCTTTCTGTGCCGCAAGTACCAGGAGGCTGCCACTTGCTACAGCAAAGCTATCGTGAGTGTCCACAAAAGCAACGTCAACACTGAGAATGACTAGTTTGTGGTCCTCACTGACGCTAAATGAAATGGTCAAAGACAAGAATGATCATGTTTCTGTAGATTCTACTGTTGCTGCAGATAATGGAAAAGACCACAGGAAGGTGCTGTGGTCTTATAGTGCTTCGTCTGGTGTATTTTCTCCCCCTAGAATCGTAATCCATCGGTGGCAGTATACTACACTAACAGGGCTCTTTGCCATGTAAAGCTGCAGCAGTATGACAAGGCTCTGGCTGACTGCAAGCATGCATTGGAGCTGGACAGTCAGTCGGTTAAAGCCCACTTCTTCCTGGGCCAGTGTCACCTGGAGCTGGAGAACTACGACGAGGCCATCGGCAACCTGCAGAAAGGTCAGAGTAAACTTCTGAAAGATGGTGAAACTATTGCAAAGAGGCATGACAGTGTTCTTTCTCTCATTTGTTGCTCCATCCTTCACATGTATTTCCTTAAATGATCTTAAATGTTCACATTTCCTTCTTTTCAAACTGCTCTTTGACTCTGACCTCAGTCTCAGAGTCAAAGGGCTTTTAATAGTAACTGACGTAAAGCAACCATTTGTAGGCTTTTATTGAGAGGAATGCAAGTTTCATTTATGGTTTTGTTTCTTCTTCTACTTATTGTTTACGTGTTACATTACATTTGCATTGGAACTACACATGTCGTATGGAGAACCCTTTTCTCATAAATGACATCTGGTGAATGCTTGACTTTAATGCTTTCTTAACATGTGGGATATTTTCACAAAACCAACAACTCTTCTATTTCAATTGATTGAAATAACTATTTGGTGTTTTTCTATATGTGTTACCGCTGATTTATTTTGTTATCTTCATGTTAGGTCCTCTTTCATTTGAGGAGAATATGGACATATACAAAAAAACTGAAAGGTGTCAGTCTTGAGTCCTGATGTTCCTCCACAGCTGGATTTGAGGCATCTTAACTACTCTACTCAGAGCTTGAACAAGGGCAACTGGACTTCTTCTTGGATCTTGAAGATGCTTCAGCCCTCATCCAAAAAGGCTTCCCTAGTTCTGAAGTAGTTTGTTGGGGAAAATGAGCTGAAGTAGAGAGCGGCCGATCACCCCAGCAACTGTATTACTGAACCACCTGATCAATGAGCTGATGAGGATTATTTTATTATTTCTCATCTATAGGTTTTTTATTAATTTGAAATACCTTGTTCTGGTCACATGATCCATCATGTAAATGACCATCTGGTTTAGAACTAAATGGGCCTTTTGGATCACAGGTGAGATGTCTTAAAGATCGAAGGAGAACTACTGTAGCCCTGATACAAACTTTTGTAAAAACGCTCCACAGTCTCCTGTTGGCTTTAGATATGAGGACAGTTTGACCAAGAAAGGTTTCAGTTGAGGGACCTACAAAGAAGCGGCCCTTCTGTTTTTGATGTGGGTTTCAGTGTAAAAAGTCATATATAGGTTGTGTGCTAATAATACGAATAATACCTTCATAGGCAAATCTGCAATGATGGATGTGTTTTTATTAGAATTTTCTAAGCCTGTCTTGGAAATGTTTTAATTTGTTGGCCACAATATTGATGATTGGTTTCATAGCAGCCTTACTGTGGCTGATGGTTTTATTTTTGCAGCGTATAACCTGGCTAAAGAACAGAGGCTGAATTTTGGAGACGACATCCCAAGCGCTCTGCGCATTGCTAAGAAGAAACGTTGGAACAGCATCGAGGAGAAGCGCATCAACCAGGAAAACGAGCTACATGCTTATCTAACTAAACTCATATTGGCTGAGAAGGAAAGGTGAGGGAGCAGCCAGCTTTACAGCGTATTTTATAAGTCGGTGGAATGTCACTGAAATTAGCTTAGTGTAAAAGTCTTCAAATATTCTGGATGAAGAGATACTTCTGCTTCTTTGTATTTCGCAGAGAGCTTGAAGAATACAAAGAAAAACAAGATGACAATCAAAATGGAGGTGATGCAGCCAAGATTTCTTCAAAACATGTACGTTTTAACTTTAATTTAGAACTTATTTACAATTAATGACTCAATGTAGAGATCAGTATTGTAAACATGAAACTTTTCATATGAGCATTTCTCCTTCCAAATCATGGAAATGCCACCTGCTAAGGAGAAGTATTTAATGGACATGGACGAACTCTTCTCCCAAGTGGATGAGAAAAGAAAAGTAAGTTTAAAGACGAATTTTTGCACTTCTTGTTGCGCTTTTTTTTCTTGTTGCACATTTAAAGGCATGAGGTAATCCGTGCACGAGTCTCAGTGCAAGCACAAATCAGGTTAAACGACTTTGTCAGGAGTTGGCTTTACTGAGGAAATCCTCATTTTATTGTAATTTGTTAGAAATTGTACACAAGGCAAGGTATTTGATCCTCCTTTTCTTGGATCAGTCTCAAGGTTTATGTATTGTTTTTATTCACATTTCTTTGACCAGAAGCGGGATATACCAGATTATCTTTGTGGGAAGATCAGCTTCGAGCTGATGAGGGAGCCCTGCATCACACCCAGTGGAATCACCTACGACCGCAAAGACATAGAAGAGCACTTACAGGTGAAACTATTGTCAGCCGGATCAACTAGATCAGACCCCAGCCTGACTTAGGTGAAGTATCCTTTTGATTAAATGCTTCTCATTTGCATCTGTGCAGCGAGTTGGTCACTTTGACCCAGTCACCCGGAGCCCTCTGACCCAGGATCAGCTGATCCCAAACCTGGCCATGAAGGAGGTGATCGATGCCTTTATCCAGGAGAATGGCTGGGTGGAGGACTACTGAAGAGACACTTCCCCATTTCTCTTCCTCAGTGCTCAACACAAAGTCTGGACAACACAAGGCTGTAGAGAACAGATCACCCCTTGCCTGGATATGTACCTTACACGAGCAGGAGAGCCACACTGTGGACTACCCAACGGGAGCCATACTTTTCAGCCCGCCTCCTCCCCACATTTTATCTTTGCTGTAAAAACATTTCGCTTCAAACCTCAGAGGCTCAGTGTTTATGGCCTGCTGCTCCCTTTAACACCCCTGTACACTCTGCTCTTTTCAGCCTTTCTCTCTGCCCTTCTTTTAAGCCTTACTCCTTTCTGTACTAAAACAGAGGCCTTGCTCTCAGGTCTCTTTTGCACCCTTCCTGCTTCATCTCCATTTCCCATTCTTTCCTTGAGTGCCACACTTCTTGGAAAAAAGCATTGCACAACAGTGTGTAGATTATACCACCGATATTTTAAAAGAAAAAAAACAAACACTGTCAGAATTTCCGAAGACATCAGCTTTTTATTTGGCATTTACTCCAGTATTTTATAGTCATTTTTCCATGAAAAGCTGGAGACATTTCTCATCTATCGATGTACATTTGTTAAAGTAGTCACTAAAATGCCAAAAATGTGCTCTGAACAATGTTGACTTGTTTGTATGCAAGTTTTAGGCGATGATAATAGAAGAGGGTCATTTTTCTACCTGCTGGTGGGGCTTCATACGTACCAATTCATGTCACTTTACTGTAAATCTTACATGGATTGAAAATATGTTTTTTTCTCCTTTGCATATCAATCACACCCCATTACTGACAATTAAGATAAGTTGAATTTATGCATTATATATTCTTTTTTTTTTTTTTTTTTTCAGCCCAGTTTTTTCAAATTGTTTTTTTTTTTTTAAATCTGGGCAATTTCAGGTTTTCATGAAAAGCCTTGATCTGGAAACAAACAAAACAAAAGAATGGCTGTACACAAAAAATAGTTTATCATTGCTGGATATGAATTCCAAACATTTAAATGTTTAAACTTGAAAGATGAGAGAATATCGGCCGTGCGGTGGTGGCTAATAACTGCTTAAAAAGTGGTCTGTGCTGTCTCTGTGGTTCCTAGAAGCAAAAACGTGCTGAGACGTAGTGTGTGTGTGTGTCTGTGTGTGTGCGTGTGGCCCGGATTGACAGTGGACGCTCGCATCCGGCGCCCAAGCGAACTCTCTCCCGAAGAGGCTTTTTCCCCCCTCACCTTTTTGCTGATGACTTTCTCCACAGGGGGGGGACTGATCTGTGTCCTGTCTCAAGGACTCGATGCTCAGTAGCATCACTGCCCCGCCCTCCGTCACAGAAATGCTGGAAGAGTAACGACCATCTTATCTCATCCGTACCTCAGTCCCGCTGTCCGGCTGCCCGACACTCTGTAAAACACATTTTCTGTTCAGTGCTTGTAGTTCACGGGTTGTCCAGCTGAATGTGTCTGTGGTGAATTTGACCTGTCGGTGGTTTTTCTTTGCGTCGGGGTGCAGTCAGTGTACATAATTTGCTGATGATATTCAGATTTTATTTGTTGAAAAGGTAGGTTTTTTTTTTTTTTGGTTTTTTTTTGAGAACTCTTAGAGAAACGCTCGAGAAACTGTATTAAATGTAGATATGTTGATAACATAAATGCCTGATTTGGTTTCCATTTGTTCCCATTAAACCGTGAACATGAGTGAGTGAGTTTGTTGTTTGAAGCTAAAGGATTGTTGGTGAAGCCAAGTAAGAATGTAAAGCTAGTGCTTATTAGAAATGCATTAATATGATCTAAGAGCAAACAAGTTAGAAAACCCCAAGAGCCCTGATATAAGTCCTGTTATGGTTAAAATGACCTGTGTTGAAGACTGAATAAAGGAGCTGGCCGGTTCTGTTGGCTGAATGACTGTGGAGTCTAGTTCCACTGTTTTTCAGCCTTGAAAAGCCTTGTTTCTTGAAAGACAGCATTTTATTTGAACTAAAACAATTCTTTCAGACAAACTTTGTGGTCTAAGTATTTCTTGATGTCTTTCTTGAAATCATTAGACATGGTCAATCCATTTTGCATTAAAGTTGAATTAAATCATAAAGATTCTGGGGTTTTATTCAAACGCAGAGTAAGCGATCACCTGTAACCTTACGCCGCTTTACATAAATCAGAAAGTAGTTCAATACTTAAAGCAAACAGCAGGTATTTTCTGAAGCAGAAACATATATGATGATGTATATTGTGTTAACACATATGTCTGTGTTCTGTACAACTCCTGGACAGAATTAGGAAACGACCACACCCAGAGGCTGGTCACCCAGCTTTGATATTTTATGAGGGAAAAAAAACAGATGACATGAAGGTATTTGATTTCACAACCACAGATTCAACCTTTACACAAACCTGAAAATGTTGAATTATTTAGATTTTAGGTTCTGCCTGTTTTTTTTTTTGTTGCCCTGCCAGCTGAAGTGTCTTTCCAGAGAAGTTTTCACATTCTTTCCTTTGTGACTGGATTCATTCACAAATTTAGATCTGAGCAGGTCAAAGAAATCCAACTTGCAGTGTAATAGTTTTTGAGGCCAGAATGTTCAGCTAACATAATTTTAGTAACACTACATAAATGTAAGTTAACATCCTTGAAGGCTTGCAGTCTAACTTTGATTGCTTTTTGCCCGGAGGCTGTTTTCCATTTTTGTATTTGAAACATCAAATAGCTTTTATATAGAAGAAGACAGAACCCCCCCCCCAAAAAAAAACCCCAACAAAAATATAAAACATTTCCTGCATGATAACTGATATATGTCGACAGAAAAAAGAGCTATTCTTTGCAACATTCCTATAGCAGCTTTCTTCTTAAAACTGGCTACCGGTCCCGGGTTGACCGGCCTCTCATGGACCGCCGGGACAGGATGGAGCCGCCCAGCAGGAGTGAGCGGTGTACAAATGGAGGGATGGGTTCTCTCTGATTTATTCTCTCATGGTGGGAGGGCTTACATGTTGATGCTGCTCTCTGTTTAGCAGGATTCTGATTTCTTTCAGGCAGAATACTCAAACCAGCCGACACTTTTTGAATACATTTCCATCAGACATGTTCCTATGGAAATGTCACATTACGGCATTGATCAGCTCAGAGATAAATCCACTTCACATTTCTTTGGCTACTGAAACACACTTGTATAAACAGAGAAAGCACATTATGAGAAAATCTCTTTAGTACACAGCTGTGTATCAAAGATTGTTACGACACAGGCCTGCTTTCTTAAACTGTAAACATGTTCTACATACACAACCAAACCTTCAAGGTTGAATGTAGTAAGATCATCTTGGGTCTTTTATCCTCTGTCACTGTCACATCAACAACATTTTAAAAAATGGCTCTGTCCCTGCGCTGTTATCACTGTCAGCTGGTCTTGTATCATAACTAAAACGATGAGTGTGTGTGTGTGTGTGTTTCACTGACACGGGCAGAGTGTGACCCGGCCCTCACACACGGGGCCTATTGTCAGAGCATCCATTACAGAGCTGACATCACAGTCTGTGCAAGGAGGGAAGAGGACTGGACACCAGTGAAGTGGAACAGAGAGGAGCGCCTTAGCAACATCAAAATGGTAACAAACACTAATAATATGATTCTGCCTCTGATGTGATGAAGGTGTTGGGCTTGTGATGTGTGTTTGGAGGTCATGTAAAACTGCTCCTGGTCTGAAGGGGCGTGTGTGTTTGCAGAGCGCCGACCCCGGAAAGTTTGTTCTGCTTCTGCTCGTTGTGGCTGTTTTTCCTCCGGCTTCTTCGTCCACCATGCAAGGTAATGTCTAAAAATAATGATCGAACAAGGATTGAGGATAATGATGTTCATGATGACTTGTGCTTTCAGTTTTAATAAAAAGTTGACTCCAAAACGACTTCGGGACTATCACGATGCTTCGACTCCTTTATTTTAAAGTGCTGCCTGGAATTGATGTGAAGAAGCTTCTTTAGCTTCAATAGGGTTCCTACACGGAGACTGAGATAGGCTTTTATGAACCCTCCAGGAAGGTGTGGCAGCAGATTATTTGCTTGAAAAAGAAAATCATTCTAAGTCATTTAAAAAAATGTAAAGTTTTCCTCAGTTTTTGTTTCTGGAGGTTTAATCCTTTGTGTTTTGCCTTCGGTGTCATAGTACTTCTTTGTTTCATAGTCCATAGTGATGGAGGATGAATCTCTACTATGGCACCAAAAAAAAAATCCCACCACATCAGCTTGTCTCACTATGAAAACTCCACAATTTAATCATGACACACTCCCAACCTGTTTTGATCATGTGATCACGTTGTTTTTTTTTGCTCTTCTGAGTCTAGTGGGTCTGAGTGAGAAAGTCCTGGTCTTCCCCTATGAGACGGACTTCAGCTTCGTGGGCCTGATCCCCCAGAGGGAGATGGCTCTCCGGGCGTTCACGCTCTGCATGCGCGTGGCCACCGAGCTGCCCGAGGAGCGGCAGGTCATCCTGTTCGCCTACCGCACCGCCGACTACGACGAGCTCAACGTCTGGCGCGAGAAGGACGGCCGCATCTCCTTCTACATGAGCGGCGACGGCGCCTTCTTCCACCTGCCCGCCCTGGGCACCTTCCGCACCAGCCTCTGCCTCACCTGGGAGTCCCGCACGGGCCTGGCCGCCTTCTGGGTGGACGGGAAGCGCAGCACGTACCAGGTCTACAAGCCGGGCCACAGCATCCGGCCCAACGGCACCGTGCTGCTGGGGCAGGACCCGGACAAACACCTGGGGGGCCTGGAGGCCCTGCAGAGCTTCGTGGGAGAGCTGACCGACCTGAACATGTGGGACTACGTGCTCTCCAGGAGCATGATCCAGGCCTGGCACTACGGGCACAAGGTGCCCAAGGGAAACATCTTCGACTGGTCCACCATGGAGTTTGAGCTGCACGGGAACGTGATGGTGGTGGACGACGACTGACTGGACGGGAGCTCCAGGGCAGACGGGGGTCAGGCTCCAGAGGTGGCTGTTGGACTGGTGCTGGTATGCTTGGATCTCTCTTTGATTTAGAGACGCCTTTCCTTGTCTCCAAGCGGCTGTTTGTTCTGGTCTGTTTGGTCTCCTCACACCTCTCGAATCATTAGATAAAGAGAGGATTGTGGTGCGGTGTTATCTGGTACTACATGTTGGCTGAGCATATTCTGACATGAACATTTAACTGTTTCTTATTTTTGTTAGAATAATACACTTGAGACCAAACCCAGCACCAATAACCCATTTTTGTTTTTCTAATTTTTGCATTTCATTTTAACACCGTGGCTGTTCAAATAATGACACCAAATTCCTGTTGACCTGAAAATTTGACTGGACAAAGATAAAGATGAAACATTCCTATGAATACTTTAACAATATGTTTTTTCTTTGAATGGATAATGATCTGGATCTTTGAGTGGATAAGAAAGTGAAATGGACACACAGCAAAAGCTGTTTTCTACCATTGGGTAAACTTTTGCTTCTCATTTTTTCTCCTTTTTTAAACCTTCATTTTTGGAAAAGAAGAGTAGACTTTCGTAAAAATTGAAAAATGTCAGAACTTGACTTAAATATGTGCCATTGTGAGGCAGAGACGTTGACATGCCGTATGTATCCATAGGGTGGCACTCTGCACTCGGTCACATTGCACAGCAACTTGCCTCATTACTCTTTTTTTTATACATGGACTCATCTACTAATGTGGTTTGGCACTGAAGACTCATTAAAAAAAACAACAACAAAAAACCCAGTTGTAATCTGCAGTTATTTGAATTCATTAGCCCCAGTTTTTTGCAGATTGGGAAAAATAGAATATGTAATAAGGCTTTATCACTGTGCCGTCTCGTACTTAAAACAAAATGCTAACAGCTCTTATTAAATGAGTGGTTTACATTAACACTTTGCTCAAAATTTTAATCCATTCGTTAATTTCAGACCATCGTATTTCAACCATTCAATGCACATTTGCTTGGTGAGAAACATGTTTTTAAAAAAAGTGCTTATCTTTAATGAGATTCGAAGGTTTTCGCTGTACGGTGAGACAGAAAGTAATTATCATTGCAGTGGAACATTGCCTTTGGTTAGCACATTCACTAATGAAATTTTCATCTTTCAGCTGATGTAAGAGCGCTTTTGGGTATGAAATAAAATCTCAACATGTGCATTACTAATATTGTTCGATATCATATTATTTGGTCTACAAACCCTTGTGGCTCCTTTGTCTAAACTTTCACACATATTAGATAGAGCTTGACTTTTAACATTTTTCTGAGAGAAGGCATATTAAATAAACTTAAATCACTTTCAATTTCTATTTTATTGGAAGAATTAATACAAATATTTATTTAAGTCTTCGTTCTTTTACCTATTTCGATGGTGTAATAACTTTTAAATACACCAAAAGTTAACTCTAAATAGAAAGTGACTTGATTAAATGAAAGAGCAATTTTTAATTCTTGTTAGCATCTGTCGAGTGATAAATTGTTCCTTAAACACTATGACGGAGGCTCTGAGTGATCCTCGCTCCTGTAGAGTTAGAATATTGAGGTTTCTCCACCGGTTCACAGGCAAAATCAGATTTCACGTTGCTTTGTTTCCACATTTTCTGATTTAACAAGCCTGAAACAAACAAACACGATACGCATGTCTTACACGTTCCTTGGAGAAATCAAAGCATATGGAGCTGCCTCACTAACAAAGGCCCCCCAGAACAGGCTCAGGGTCAGATCTTCTCCATCGGAGTGTAACAGTGGCCCTGTGTTCTGCCTCTGTTCGTCTCCATGGCTCCGTGCACTCATCCTCCCTGCCTGCAACACCATCGTGACCTCCTTGCCCAGACGAGGGAGAAGTTTGCGGAGCACAGCCCGGGCAGGCTTCCTTCAGGGTGGGAAAGTGCTGCTTTCTCAATGTGTGTGTTTATTCTGACCAAATCAGCCGTTGGCTCTCTCTCTCAGTGGCTAAATAAGGAGAAGGCAGGGCCAATGAGTTCTGACTGCGGGTCAGCAGCCAAATGTTCCACCTTCTTGGATGTTGCAATGCATCAATCGCGGTGCCCACTCACTGTGTGGTAACACCTTTGTGGACCATCTGCCTTAGCCTGGCTCCTCAGCCCTCTGGTGTGCGCACACAAAAACACACACACACAGACTCACACACACGCGTAGAGACAAAAACATTATTTTCTCTTTTTTTGCATCTCTGCCCAAGAGCATGATATATTAATTTCTTCATAGTTAGGAAAAACTTCAAAATCATTTTTAGTTAACATTACTTTTTATTTAAGAATAATAAACTCTGGCAGCGTGGCAGTTATGCATCATCTCAAAATGAGGCAGACTGATACTTTTGAACTCTCCAAGTAGTGGGAACAGACTTTTTTTTGGTTCATTATCCCAAAAGGGAATGCATTGTGGCAACAAACACTTCTATTTTTGCGCCAAAGTGGGACTTTGCAGCACTTAGCATAAAGTCAAAATCACTGGCCTCCTCGGTGAATGGATAATTAGCCCTTGTGTCCTTACATCGCATGTATTATCCAACTGAGCAAACAGTTGCAGGGCTCCTTGTTCTGCTCGCGGACAGGACCGCCACCGAGGGCCCATGAGATCTGCATATCTGCCCATGGTGGTGTGGGCTGTCTGAGTCTGTCTTTGTGTGCGGAGCTGGTGAAGATGTTTTCCGGGCGAGAGGAGATGGACTGCAGTGGGGAGCACCGTGTGAGCCGGCGAGGGCAGACAGAAGGAGGGCCGTTCTGGATTCCTTCGAGCAACTCCAAATAGATTTCCAGGCAAAACATATTTGCATACGCAAGACAGTGCTACGAGCTATCTGAGTGAGCTGTGGCATGTGTGCACTGAACAGATGGATAATTTTTTTAGAGCTTTCTTGCAGAAATTTCAGCCCATTAATTTCAGATCTTGGGCATTATTCAGGATGCCTTTTATCCATAAGGCTTAAAGAGAATAATCTGGATCAGTTGTGATTTTATTTATCAGATTTAGTGCAAATATGTCACTAAAAAATATTGCAGAAATTTTCTTTCTAGGCCTTCCACAGAGATTTGTGCATCCCAGTTTTCACTCGATTCAAATTTGATTTAATAGATCAGCAAATATTCACCAAAGGTCCAATGAGGTGATGAGGATTTGACCTGAATTACAGGTTGCTCTTTAACTCTGCCGCACGCTATCTTTCCTTTTTCTCTTAGAGCCTGTGATATGCCCCCTCTGGGCTGCATGAAAAATTCACCAGGGTTTCCCATTAGAGTCGCTCTGAATCAGGGGGCAGGTGTGACACTGGCCACCTCCTTGACACTTTTATCACTCTGCATTTAGCGACGCATGTGTTGGGTTTATGAAACGCACAAAACCACAGCAGATAGGACCTTTTATTTGCAGGTCCGAACAGCAATCAGCAGCATTGAACTGGTAGAAAAAAAAAAGAAGGACTGCAAAGATGTCAGAGCTGGATTCTCACAGTGATGGTAGAAGGCCTGACCTTTTCCTGGGTGTGAGAGAATTTGTCTGTGTCCGGTGCTATAACTCCAGGCAGGACGCCTAACACCGCTCTACCTTCCTCTGAGTAAGTCCTGCAAGAGGAACAAGAGGAAAAACAAAAGGAACACAAAGGTGACTGTGAAGAGAATAGCTTAATATCAGGTTACACTAAAAATATTTGGTTTTGTTACTTTGATTTGAGGCTTAAACATATATAAAGAAAGGGTTTTAAACTCATCTAATTTCCAGAGTGAGAGCATCAATCATGAGAGGTCTCATCACAGGGAGCTTTGTTAAGTCTGGCATCTTCACATTAATGTGAGAAATAAAACAAAAAATATATTTTTAATAATATTGTGGAGGTATACTCAACTGTGCTGAAAATTTTATAATAATAATGCTTCTTTTGTACAATCCACAACATATGTGAATGTGAAAAAAAGAATCATAGTGACGACCTTTCTCTTGTTTTAGGATTTACAGTCTGATGTGTCATTGAAGTGTTAAATAAACTACTTTATAACAAAATTTTTGCATAAAATAAGAAAGAAAAAAAAGGGGTGGAAAAATCTAAAAATCTAAAATGTGTGATTTCTGTCTTGCTGAATAGTAGTTAGAAAATTCAGGTTATTAGCAGAATGTGAGACAAAGAAACAACTTCAAAAGGTCCTTCTTTACAATTTTTAATATTTTATCTGATAATATCCAAAAGAAATGTAGTGATTATTGTGATAAAAATGATCAGTTTGATCGTTCTCCTCCGTTAAAAGCCTGTAATATGCAGCCCCACCCCCCATCTCCTTCACCCCAGAGAGCTCGGCATCACGGAGCAGAATGGAGAGTAGAGCTGGGGAGCTGAATGCCTCTGGGCTGGCCTCTCCTGTGAACATATGACCCACGTCACAGCGTGTGGTGCTGGGAGACGGTCCAGGGCCTCCTGATTAAATATTACAGGCCTCTAAATGGATGGAGATTAGCTTCTGTGGGAATGTTAGGGCTTAATTCACCCCCAGGCCAGATGTGCTTGTGTGTGCGGAATACGGGGAAGCGGGCGGAGAGGGAAGGGGCTGCTGTACATGTGCCCTGGTGTAAATGGATAACATGTTTGTTAAGAGTGGGTCGATTGAGACTGTTGTGCGGTTGCACTGGTGGGAATGTCAGAGGTGGGATCACAGAACCAGATCTGGCATCAGAGTCACCGCAGCTGAGCGAGAATTTGACTCTTATTTTCAATTTTGGCATTTCAAATATTAATCCAATGAAGCTGATAAATCATTAGTGCTTCTAAAAAAATCAGTGTGGGTTCTGCTTTGCCTTTCTCTCCACAGATGTGTGAGGCATCTCACGTCTTTAGTGCTGTCTTGAGATGGGCCAATCCAAAGCTGAACGTTTTCTCTGAATAACAGGGCAATTTAGTTTTTTCTGTAATGTATTACACATAAATTAGTTTAA